TTGATGTTAGATAAAAACATCTAAGCGGTGAATGAATCCAAGTTGAAGTTTCATATTTGAAGTTAAGTATATATGAAAGTTTAAGGGATAAAAGATGTACTGAAAATAATATAAAAACATCAGTTTTGATGTCAATAAATCTTATAAAAATAAAGAGATAAAATCTAAAAGAAAAGTTTAAAGAAAAAAAGCTTAATCTAGTGGAAGCAATACAAGAATCTCTAGAGATGTGTTTGGTTTGTAGAACACTAACAAATAAAACAAAAAAGATTGTAAATAGATAAGTTACAAAATTGAGAAGTATATATGCATATTTCAATAAAACGTTAAAACAAGTGTGAAACAGAAGACACTAAAACAAATCATAGAAATAGCACAATTTCTAAACAAACCAACCAAGGCAATGATAAAATCTAAAACCAAGGCAATGATAAAATCTATCTTCTTTCATCAAACACTTGAACTTCTGTCTAGAATAATTGTAATTTCAAGTAGAAATTGAGAGAGGGAGAGAGAGATAACCTCCAAACGGGTACTTGTACTAACATTCTGGAGAATGATTAATTTGTGAATCTAGTTTGATCCCAAAAAAAAAGAAGAGATTTTACAAAAATTGGATAAGAGTTTATAGAATACTGAAAAACCTCAGTTTTATTTTCTCCTGTGAATAAGGAAAGGTGAACTAATTGGTGTTGGGTTTTATATAGAAGTAGAATTTAAGCGTTTGCGTGTTAATATATCCGTTGTGCGTCTAATCCCTTTTCTTACCGTTGTATTTTAATTTACAGACAGTCAGATTTACCGTTGACTTGTAAATCTGAAAAGGAAAAACGAAAAAGGTGTTGTAAAATGGATAAGCATCCACAAGTGGTGCCGTGTGGTATGGAGTGAAGATTTAAATATAACATGTTTTAGTTATTTACTCGACAAATTTTCAAAAATACTATTTTTAAAAAATGTCATATTTTCAAATATTTTCAAAAATTTTGCAAAAATATCACTTTAAAAAATATATATATAGCATTTATGTTTGGGTTAATTATGTTGTATTAGAGTTTAGTTTTGAGGGTTTAAGGATTCTAGAGACTAGGGGTCAAAACATTTTTTAGGATTTATAATTTTAAGATTTAGGTTTTAAAAATCTATAATTAGTGGCATTTTTGCAAATAGACACATTTAAATGACATTTTTGCAAATGTGCACACCAAAAATGACATTTTTGCAATTATCCCTTATATATATCACGTAAAGTTTAAATTGCACACCAATGGAAATTGGGGATAGTACCGAAAAAAGTTAGAAACATTGTATAATCTAAAAAGAGTTTAAATCAAGCTAAATGTCCGAAATTATGGAATTATCTTCTTTCTTTTTTTTAACATATAGAGAAATTATCTTCGAATTTTATATATAGGTGAAAAATATAGAAAAAGGGAATCGCAATAAGCTGTTTCTTTGGTTTTCATATATGCATATATAACGGTCATTATAGGTGGTGGGAAAGTTCCACGTGTTTATAGAGAAGAAGGAGGTTAATCAAATGAGATTCTTAACCACTACAACCATAATAATACGTTTAATTTTTTTTTTGGTAGTGATAATACGTTTAATTTGAATTAGTCGTTTCTACGCCATGAGAAACGAAAATAATTAATTATATGCTATATTGGTTTTTTTTTTCAAACTAGCTATATAGTTATTTATTGCCGGTCATTTTGATAATTTATCGTATTTTCAACACCGATAATATGTGTTGTTTTATTCATTCTCAATTAATTTTGACGTAAAACTCATAAAACATTATATGTTATTGAAAAAATGGTTTAGACCAAATTAATGAACCAAAGTGCAACTATTATTATCTTTCGTTTTTTTTCCCAATAACCAAGAAATTCCAAATTAAACCTATCTTTTGTTTATGTAACAAATATTATTATTGTTGGTACTTCAATTCGAGAACTTTCTAGCTGTTTTTTGTCTTTGGATGGCCAAGTGGTACACTAGTTGAACCAATTGATCTGAAATCGAAGTTCTTCACATTATATCAGTATTATATTTTCCAAGCTGTTAATTAGGGCTTGTGGTGATGAATGTACTTAGGCTTTGAAAAGAAGATACTGTTTGTTTGAATTTGCCTGATGCATGCTTGTAACTTTAAATTCTTCCTACACATTCCATGCGTGGATGTGTGATATATGCAATGTCTATTGAACCCTTGACTAAACGTTTTATTTGATTGAATGGATTACTTACTAATGAGGTACGAGTTAGCAAACTAGATATATTAGGATCATGCGTATTAAGGAAAAAAAATCACTTCTTATGAAAAAGTTATATTAGCGCTCTT